TATGCCCTCTGTTCTGAAGTTATTAGTAGAACTTACATTTCCGGGCCCACCAGCAACACAGTACTTGCCCAAATCCTTTTTTTTGGGCTTCTGAACATTTTCGCCGCACTCCATGCTCACTTGGGGTTTACTCGGAGTTCTGAGATGTATACAACCAGTGACATCACAACACTGTTTTGGCCGCGCCAAGATGGCCGCCAATTTTGGGCTTGACTAACCGAATTCAAAGGGCTAGAAGAAAGCTTTCCGCGCTCCGTTGGACCAAAAAAAAAACTCACAGCGCTTGTTAGTCAGGTCCAAACTTTATTATCATGCAAAAATCACAGCTACGAAAATTTCGTTTCAATGGCACTTTAATAATTGCTGAAAATTGAAACTAGAGGCGAACGCCGTTCGACGAAGCCGTATCTTGCGTGACAAATATTCAGCTACCACTTAACTTCAATTCCATAATCAATCATAATTTATGTGGCGAGTAGTTTTCGGTACGGTGCCCTATTCGGAATTTTAGTGAAGTTAGAAGTGCGAACAGCCTAACCCCATACTTACAAAAGTAGCAGTAATTCATTCAGCCAGAAAATTTGGTCTTACGACCATAGGAACGACCCCATGGGGTGATACTTTTAGGATGCTCAACTTGGAAATCCCATATGTAAGCGTTAGGAAACTCAGGTACAAACCTAATGAAGTACGCATACTCGGATGCGAGCCTCAGTGCAGACTACCACGGGCACAAGGTTAGGCATTATACGCGGGCTTCGCGTGGGCTAGTAGCGGTGCAAGTAAATAATTTGTGAACTCTCGTTTTGAGCGGGAAATTACACTGATTAGGTTGCGGTTGAAAACATTATTCATTGTCGGTATTTTACAATTTTTGATGAACTTGCATAGCCATAAAAGTCAGAGCTAGAGCTTTGTCAACCGGAAGAAATCATTTAATTTAATTTTCTGGTGAAAGGAAGATATCGACAAAAAAAGAGTTCATTCAGCAAAATTTGAATAGGCGGGATCGTGACGTCGTCGCTCAATGTGACCAATCGTGTTACATACGGAAAATACGCCACTCGGTACCTGGACGTGCTGGTCGTATGGATTCTACTAGTGTTTTAGCTCCCAGTAAAACGCTCCTGTCAATAATATAATTTCGAACATGAAAAACTACAGGCTGCTTCTCCTTAATGAAATTTGCGAACTCGGGTGACTTGATCACTTCAAATTTACATTGGACTCATCCCTAAGCTCACACATATGTGATATTCATTTATACATTTATATAGCAATGTTTTATTATATTTATTCTGTCTATATTTCTTATGCGCATAGAAGACGATAATGTACTGATGTATGTACCTTTCCGTGGAAACAGTCCGAATGGCAAAATATCTATTGAAAAACTTAGAATGTGACACATGGATTTCCCTTAAATTAACCGTGACATAAAATTGTGCATGGCGCCCAAGAATGAATGGTTGAGCCTCATTTTCTGCCTTACCATTTAACATTTTCCTGA